GGAGGGAAAGGCACTCAGGAGCAGTGAAAGCACACTATAAAAAGAAAAATTATATAATATAAAAATAGAGGGGTTGTTCTTCTGTCAGTTAACCAGCAGCTTTAGTCCAATCTAAAACTAAGCAGCATTCCTACAAGCATCTTGGTAAGAAGTTATAAGCTTTTTGTTAAATAAATGTATTTTAGAGGTTCTATGCGACTGCTTGTTTAGCCTTGTTTTTCAGTTCTCTGCAAGCGTTGACAACCATTTACACCACCTATCCAATAGGTTTCTCTACAACACCTCCCTTATTTTCCTCCGAACACTGTTTATTTCAAAACATCTCTTCAACACTTCTGGGGAAATAGCATAAGATGTCACAATACCTTAGTCATCCAGTTGCACAGTCTTTTGAAATAGTCTAATTCCAAGTGTTGTAGAATAATATCTACACTATTAAAAATTAAGTAACAAGAACTAGCCATGAATAAAAGGCAGTTTACAGCTGCTCAAAAAACAAACCATTCCCCACCCTAAGGTAATTTTTAAAACAAGTATCTGCTGCAGTGTCAGTAACCTTGCCAATGTATTACCTGAAAGCCCTGGCAGCACTTGTGATACTGCACACAAATCCATGGGCTTTTAAGGAGTTGAAGACATTTATTATCATTAGTCTCACTGTTTTATCATGGATGAATAATAAAAACTAATATTATGCTTCTGTTTTCATAGCGGGTATTAGTCCATGCTCTTTATCAAACTCTCAAATATAAGGATATGTAATGCTCTAAATAGAGCACCCCATTGCAGGCTGTGGGCTTTTGGGTTTTGGTTTCTTTCGGGTTTTTTTTTCCCCTTTCCCTTTTAAGCCTTTTCGTTTGCACCTTTTCAGTTCAGATAGCACCACCAGGAAGCTGTCCAAAAATAATTCACCATTTAAGCAAGCAGTGCAGTGAGTGCCAGCCAGACACATTCCATGTAATGCATCTCCCAGTTGCCTTAAAAAAGAAAGAAAGAAAAAAAAAGACAGGGGGGGGAAAAAAAAAAAAAAAAAAAAAAAAAGAAGGGAAAAGCCCCCAAACCCTGCTAGGGAAACAAGTTAACTTTACTACATGGATAAGAAATGGCTGAATGGCTGATTGACAGCTTCCTCACCATCAGAAGCTAATGCTCTATCAGTTGCTGTAGACAACAATAAAAACCAGCTGAATTGGCAGTTAGAAGCACCACATAACAGAATTAATTATATGAGCTCTGTAGCAGTAAACTACAAAGCTAAAGTTTGAGACAGGAAAATCCAAGTATTTTTCTTTTAATAAACCCGGAAAACAGTTAATAAAATACACCCTAAAAATTGCAAATTTTGACAACCACACCTCAACTTAAGGAACAAAACCAGAATTTTTACTCATTTTCTGTTATTTACTCCTTCCATTACTCCACTGAAATGCACAAGTATCACTGGCAATGTTTGCAGCTCTACCAATACTTTTCATATGTCTCTTTTCATGGTTAAAGTATTTTAAACCTTAAGACTGAGAACAAGGAAGTAAAATTTTAACTGACTCTGCTAACAGTTCTGATTAGAGCCCTCCTAATCACAGACAACATCAAAATTAATTCCATGTTTCTCCCCAACACAACAACTTGCACTGTAAATGTTGCTTCCTATCACCTATCACACAAAAGAAAATAGCTGTCATTTTAAATCCATCGTATGTAGGAAGAAACATGCACTTACCAAGTGAACATAAGGCACAAAGTATCCAAAAAGTGCAGCTGGGATCCCAAAAGCCCAGATTCGGTAACTGAGAATTTTGAAAACTGAGAAATTACAGATCTTTTTTTCAGGAGGAAATCTGAACTTTCCCTTCTTTCCTCCCTCTTTGTCTTTGGCGTTGTAAACAAGGGGTTTGTATGTAAAGCCAGCCAGGAACAGAATAAAAATAAGGATGCACAGGACCCGCAAGGTGTTGTATAGACCAACAGAATCGATCAAAACTCTCAAGAGGAAGGGCAGTGACACGGTGAACAAGCTGCTGCCTGCAGTGACAATGCCATTCACTAGTCCAAGGCGTTTCTTGAAATAGTGGCCCAGAATGACCAAGGACGGCTGGTATGCAAATGAGCAGCCGCAGGCGAACAAAACTCCATAGGTGAAATACAGAGGTTCAATGGTGCTGGATCAAAAGAAAAAAGGAAGTATTCGTTAGTGTTTTGTACAACACTGTATGCTCACATCCACCTAACATACACAATAAAGTTTTTCAATAAATTGATACATTTACAGAAGTGAGTTAAGAGTTTGTATGTACTTATATTGAAATACACTAAGTATAATTCAGCAATTATTCTATTTTCTTCCACTAAGATTTTCACAGAATTGACAGATAAAAAAGCAATATTATATTTAAGTATAATTACACTAAACAGTCAGACTAAGAGAAAGGTTTTAAGAAAATCACTGTCAGGGTGAATTAGTCAAACATAAGTTCAATCATTGCCAGCGGTTTGACTTTTTCTTTTCCAGCAAAAGGTATTGGTTCAGTTTTCACATTATGTCACTGTGCTAGCAGTTCAAATGGAATACTGAACACTCCCCCTGAACCCAGAAAATCAAGTTAGTTATGAAAATACAGTAGCAAAAGCAATAAACATCATTAATAGTGAAAAATAAACCAAAAATTCTGTCAATTTTTGATAATGTATTAGCAAATAATAGACTTTAGGTATTAAATTTCTTGACATATATTCCCATTTTTATTAAATACTCTAAATACAGTGTTTTGACACAGATACTGGATATGCTAAGAAGAGAAGGAAAAACATGTGAATAAAGAATGAAACATTTCTGCTCATGTTAAGGATGATCTTCATCACAAGGTTCTCCCCATGACCATCTCCTGTAAAACTGAAATGAAGCAGAGCCATTGTATTAGATCACAGGCAGACGTGTGACATGAAAAAGGTACTTGTGCTAGAAATCCTAACAGCATGAAGTAACAGTGTTAATATAATAATTAGTATTAGAGCATAATAAGTCAAAGGAAACATTTTTTACATGTAGATGAAGGAGGCAACGTGTGACAAATGGTTTTATACAAAATTTCTGAGGCAGAACATGATGACTGACTTTATTTTTTTTTTTTAAGCACTATGCTTTCAATGTACCATGGGCTCTTTTCTATCAGCTAACACCTGCTTTTAAAGCAGGTCTAGAAAAACATTTAACCTGTTAGCCAATATATTAAATTCCTTTAAAGAGCTTTTTTAATGGGCTTTTTATTGTAGGACATTACCCACCAGCATCCCTCTATAACAAAATACACTCTGCAAGCTTCCCATGCATTACAGAAACTCTTGGAAAATAGCATTTGACTAACAAAGGTCTGACACCAGGAACTCGGATTTGTGTATTGTTCTGATCATACACAAGGTAAGCCATCAGAAACAACATACAGGGGAAAGACTGATTACCTTTATCAGTGGAAAATAACCAGGAAAAATAAAAACAGAAGTTATAAAATGAGAGGAGGAACATACTACACTAAGGACGGGAACTTCTGCATGTAGATTCTTTCAGAGTTTGCAACATGGCATACACAGTAATATATTTTCCTGCATTACAAATATTCTTACATCTGAGCTTCCTAAAAAATAAAATTATTTTAAGAAATCAATATGTAACAAAAGCAGTAAATCATATTTACATTTATGTACTGTACAATATTTTACTTTTAGAACATCAATTTCTATATCTGAACTATACACCCACAATTAACTGATAACATCACAGGCATAAATCATTTTAATGTAAGTAACATAATACAACACCAAGAATGCACAGTAACATGGCATATACTCTAACAAGAATTCACGTCTCCTCTCAGAGTGCTCCTTAAATTCTAAAACGAAATTCAAATAAGCTAAAATCTTTTAAAACCTTTACAAAGTAACTTGCTTTTGCATGCCTCTTCTGTGCCCTTGTTCCATTGGATATCAGGGAAACACAAGGATGCCAGCGTACGTTCAAAAGAAAAAAAATCTTTTCTTTTTGAAAAGGTTTAATTTAATAACAGCTAGACTGCTTTAATATTCATAATTAAAAACACACTACTGGGAAGCAAGGGGGAAGGAAGACTTTTCCAAGATGCATTCTTTTAGTTTTAACTTCACCTGTGCTTAACAAGCCTCTTAAAACACATCAGGAAGTGG